AAAAACAAACTACTACAGCTGTGACTTTCCAGGTCAGAAGCAGCAGTGCTCCTATGACAGGGCTAATAATTGGCTACTTGCCTGTTGCTAAAGGCATCTGGTGTTCTCCTGGTCCTGCTGCTTCCACATCTATGGAAAAATGGGAGATACAGGAGGGGGGAAAGCAAACGTATAGCATCAGAGCTGGTAATATTTGCAATGAAGAGAGTCTGGGCTGGGGGTGTGGCTGCATTAAAGACAAGAATGTAAGTACTTAAAATTACTTTAAATAATTAGGAAGCTAGCAGAAGGATTGCGAGAGTAAGATGGGACTGTCACATTCAAGAGTGAAGAAAATAATTTTAGTGCCTGGATTTTTTAAAGGACTGGGGAAGAAAACAAAAGTAATTATAAAACTAAATAGAAGGAGGTTGTGATATATCAAAAACACACTCACACAAACACACCTGCCCACAAGGATGATTTGTACAGATGACTTCTCTCTTACTACTCGACTTTCTTTCCTAATTGTTCTTAAATATTACACAAATTACAATTACCTTTTCTTTACCAATGCTGAAATTGGTACAAAGTTCAACTCAGTTCTTCAGTTTATTTAGAATTTACTCTTTATAAGCTATATGGGAAAACGGTATTTTAGATGGTGAGCATTCTCTTTATTTGAAGAGAGAGTGCGCACCAGCTTATCACAGAAGATTTCCAGCCCCGGACACCTTTGCCAAAGATTTCCTTGATGAATACATTCAACAAAAATAGAAACTGATAGTTAAGTTGTCCCCAAGTGAGGAGTGTGAAACTAATGACAACATATAAGGCAAATATATGTTTTGGCCGGGACAGAAGCCAGGACACATTGAAAGTAAACCAGTACCACAGCAGGACTGGCATCAGCATGTCATAATGAAGTGAAGGGAAATCTCTTTTCTTCTAAACAACAGTGCCACTTAGTGGATGGACGATGATGGTGAGTTAATAAGCACTGGGAATGGAGACACCACAGATGAAATCAGTGGGGTGTCCTTGACAGGCCAATGATAATGCTGCAGGCAAAGAAATACTATGAGTTGCCATAGCAACTGTACCTTGGAGGGCAGTAAGATTCTGGGCAGGAACAGACACCTGAGCTTCGCTGCCTGTAACTACATCTCCTAGTAAACAAATAAAAACATCTTAGGATTTTTATAACAAATATAACTCATTGAAATAGAGACCTCTAACTCATAGTCTTGTTGAAAGATGGCAATTTCAACTTCATCTAACAGAAAAAAAAAATATTGTGAAAAGCTGTGTAAGACTTACTAATTATAAGCGGGAGGTTTTAGGGAAGAAAAGTGCATTATATACAGTTTATGTAGAAAGAAAACCACTCTGCTATTACAGAAAAATGAGAAATTAGTTGCAGCCTAAAGGAAATATGAACAATCAAAATTAATGAGGTACTGGCATTTGAGATGGATAGTACAAGTCCTTCCTACTATTGGAGTTTCATATTTCATTTACAGACAGCATCATTTTGTACTTAACTAAAAAAATGCATCCTTATCATTTAAGCCAAAAGTAACACGCATTTGTCAGTCTGCACTTTATTCTATTCACTACCAACTAGTTCTGCAAAAAGGGAATCCTTTTTGCCTCAGAAATAATACACTTCTTTTCTAGATACAGATCAGCAGACATATACAGCAATTTTAAAAAGTATATGATAAGTGACATTTCTTAAGAGCACATTAGATCATTTTAAAAAGATCATGTTACCACAAATACTTCAGAAGTGTCAACACAAAAACAAGCAGCAGTCTGGACACTCTTTACATAGCTGATCTTATTTTTGGCAGGATTTCCTTTTCAAATTGGTCCTCTAATATGTCCTTGTGATAAAGAGGCATTCAGATCCAAAGCCTTTTGATACAAGGACCCCAGAAGACAACTGTATCTTGTACTGTGGTTGAAATGATAGGGAAAAAGTCAACAACCTAGGAAAGAAATGAAGGAAAAACTCTTTTTCTTCTACAAACACATCACTAGCTGGTAATAAAAGAGCACGAGGTTTCTGAGCAAACAAGAAATCCTGTGAGAAACAGAAGGTAACAACTTAAACACTTCTTTTTCCAGAGGCATTTTCATCACCGATTTGTTTTCCCTCAAGGATAACAAGCTCAATATATAGTACATTGAACTCAAGATTTAAATTTAACCTCTATGTCTATAAAGTGCTTCACTGTATAGAACAGAAGAACATTTTAATCTTTATGCTGTCTGTATGTTACCTTTCACAAAGATTAGACAGTAATATAGTCCAATCTTCTGCTGTACAGAAGGAAAGGATAAATGGGATGAATTCGCTATTAGCAGAAACCTATTTTCCAATTAGATGACAGTCTCAGGGCCATTGTTCAACTATGGTTTGGAATATTACAGATTAAACTGGAATTGCTGGCCTATAATTTTTTTTTTAAATCAATCTCCATTAATTTTCTCCACTTATCTTAATCGCATGTGTTTCTCTCAAATTCAGGGCATTATAAAAGCTTTAAAATGAAGAAAATAAATTAGTGATCCTAAAAATCAACTGCTAATTGTGCAGGGGCACTTTTTAAAGCAGAGTATCAGCTACCTTTAAAGAATGAAGCATCAAACATGGACACTTGTAACTGCTGCCACTGCTAGCTTATAAATTGTCCAGCAGAAGCTGTCAAAGTAGAAGGGTTATGATGAACTTATCTGCTAAGCCTGCAAAATATTATGCTATCAACTACTGCCCCTCTCTCAACCCCACAATGTAAAGCAATCTGTCTCACCTTCACGCATATAACCTACAATACATTAACCTAAAGGTGTTCGACCCCAGCCCACAGGTCAGATCTGGCTGGTGGAGCAACATTATCTGACCCACAGAGCTCCCCCAGGGCCTGAAAATTTGGCAATGGGGGAACAGTGGCAGTATTAATTGCTGCTCTCCCGCTGCTAAATTTCTGGACATATGAGGAGCCCTGTGGGTGGATAGTGTGGCTCCACATGCTACATTGGGCATACAGAGCTGAGGGGGGGGGGCATGAGAAGGAATCTGGGCACAGTGGGTGGCACAAGATGGACAGGGCCCAATCGGGGCATTACCCTTGTGGATCTGGACTGTGGACTGGTTCCACCTCACTCATCCAGCCTGCAGGGCCAAAAGGTTGAGCATCTGATCTAAATGATTGACACAACTTCAGTTTTCAAACATAAAAGATTAACCGTGACATCTGAAAAGCAGGAATGCCCTTTTTACTGAGCCTGTTTCCATCAGATGCATGAACAGTGTTCTTTTCTTTCTAAAGAACAGTTCGGCTAGCCACTTGAAGGAAGGTTTAACTAACTGAACTGGTAAAACTGCCCAAGAGACAGCTTAGCACATGCATACTCTTGTGGACACCTCTTGGATATCTTACGGCTTTCATGAAGCTTCACAATTAGTTAGCAAGCCGCCAGCCACAGAATCAGAACCACAGGCCAGAGGTCTGCTCCAATGTGTGCTAATTAGCATGCTCTAGTGGCCTCCGTGTTATGAGTATTCAGCATCTCCATGTTTGAAAATGCCTGCAGGGACACTAACTAAAGCTCGTCGAACGAGCTTTAGTTAAAGCACCCCCACCGATATTTTGAACTGTGGGATGCTGAATATACATGATGCTGCAGGCTCTTGGAGCAACTCTATTAAAGTGCTCTGCTCCCTCCCCCGGAGTACGTGTAAAGATGCCCCATGAGACTACTTACGGGGCAAGTGTAGATGTAGGCGCCTAAATGTTGGTACACATGTTTCTGCTTCTCTCAACTCTATTACAGCAGAGCATAAGACACTGGAAAGGAACTGGGGTCATAAGGCTAGGGACAGAAGTTACACATAAATAAGTGATTGGAAACTGGTTAAAATTTTCAACACAATAGAAATGGCCAAAACCAGTTTAAGATAAACCTGGATGGATGTAGCATCAGACTTAACTGATTTAGGTACAATTGATATATTGAACTTCTGTCCCAATTCCCCTTCAGATTCAAGTTAACTCACAGTCCCCCCAGCATCCCAGGATGCTTTTGCACCTCCCCCACAGTACCCCCTCCCCACCCACCCTTGCAGCATAGGTGGGATAGCCTTGGCCCAAGCTGTCTGCTCCAGCCAAGCAGGGAGGCATGCTTTAGCACTCCCTCCCCCAACTAAAGGCCTGAGCCACTGTAGGCATGTGGCTGCATTTTTTTAAATCAAAATTGAATGTCTGTTCACTTGCTTATCGGTTCAATTTATGCAGTTTAGACTAATCTGCAAAGACTGAATCGATTCAGCCTTGGGCTTTTTGCCTGTCTGTACATAGCCCAAACGAACATACGACAGAAGGTGGGAATAGAAGGGAGAACACAGAAAACTAAGGACTGGATCCAATCAATCAATTGTTTCAGAGGTAGAAAGTCAGAAAGGTCTAATATCTAACTTGTCAGACACCTGCTCTGGAAGCAAAATCCTAGAACTCTTTGTGAAGCAGCTAGTGCAGAGGAGATTGAATCATCTCAGAACAGTATCCAGTACAGTATGTACACTCAGCATACAGCCGCTTAAGGAGCCACCAGGAAATTCTTAGAATAGGGCTATCAAAAGCCCTGAAATTAGTGGCTGCAATTGGTGGCTGCCAGCCACTTTCATCAAGTAAGCAGTTAAACAGGGTACAGGTTATATTAAAAGGTAGACAGAGGGGCTGAACAGTCCCTGTGCACACAAATGGTCTCTGCAGGTAACTTATGTTTGTTATTATGTAACAAACTTGCCAGCATCATATTATGCAGAATATGTAATGATACCTTTTCCCTTCTTTCCTTTGAGATGCTAATATCCATCAAAGGATTGGCTCAGTTGTGAAACTATAACTAAGTGCCTGTCACCAGCATCTCTTACTATATGCAAAGAATTGTCTTTTATTAACTACTATATTTAAACCTTTTGCCTTACAGTGGTATTAAAACCAGACAGAATCTAAAAAGCACGGCCTCTGCATTTCTCTTGCCCTTTGGACCCAGCTTCTCAAAAACTCTACTGCACCAAACTTTTTGTTTTTAAATCCATTAGATGGTGCTATATTAAACAGTCAAGAGAAATTTCAAACAAATGTAAATTTGGGCAGAATATTGGTCTGACTAAAAATACCAACTATAGATGTAGTACACACTCTTTATCTTTCATCATACTGAAATGGAATAGGTCTTTGACAGTGTGGGGATGCATACTTACTGAACTACAACTATAAGCTTTATACCAGCAATGAAGTTTCTTGTGCCCAGCCTGGTTCTGGAACTGTAATTTGCACCACATTTCTATTATTTCTCAATAATCTCATGGTATGAATCTCTCGGTACTTGATATCTACATTTATATATAATCACAGTGGGATACCTTTTGTACTAACTGTATCATTATTATAAATCTCTGCCAATATATGACATCTAGCATGTATAGTTCTAGTGTAGATAGGGCAAACTTTGGGTTTACCATGACAAACTGAATCAAGATATAATTACAACTTGCTCCAATTACAATACATTTAATATGTTAGCTGTCACAGTATAGAAATCCATATTCTTCCTCAAATGAACATACAGTTTAGGCTATATATGGTAGGCTTATTTGGCAATCAAGAAATTAGCCAATGCGCCTGATAGCTAGCTAATCCTACAAGCTAACCTGGTGGTCACCAGGTTATGGTGGAAGCCTTACTCTGCTCAACAGCGCTGATGTAGTTTTTCTGACAGAGAGGAGCTTTGAGTGAGGAGCCATTTAAAGTTCTGCTGGCAAAACTATAATAAGTACCAGTGTCTTAAATCTGCAGTTTAGAAGGGGGAAAAGGGGTGTAAGCAGGTGCCAAGCAAAGGGGAAGCATACGATTGATTAACTGCATCTGCCCTAACACTGACTTATAGTGTAATCACTAGTAATTTGGTTCTAATATGTAGGGCACATGCTGAGTGCACAGTGCTCCAAGATGAAATAGCAGGCAGGCTTAATTCATTTTAAAGAGTGCCTTTAATATAAGAATCAACAGGATCTGGCAAATGGCTTGTACCTTTTGCGTGATTTAAACAGCCATTTGCATTACCCCTGGGTACTTTAAGTGGTTCAATATTCTACCCTGACTTTCCAAGTCAAAGAAAACATTGAAATCTTCCTACTCCAGGACCAGTCTTCTTTCACTGAACAGTCTGCATTTTACCAAAGATTCAACAGAAGTATGGTTGGATTGTGTGAATCTGTTGCGGCCTGGCTTCAACTAAAAAAATTAAGTAGCTATTTGGTTTTCAGTTTCCACTTCAGCACATGCACATTTGCCACAGTGTGAGGACTTGTGATAAACTGTGCAACTCTTGCTGGGGAAGATTTGCAAATTTTTAAGGGGGTTACAGAGGAGTTGCTTACCTAAATTTCAGCCAAACACCTACAATGGCTCTTAGAAAAGTGCCTTGGATATTTGCATAACTGTGTAGATCTGCTTTTCCTATAATTGTATATTTGGTTTCTGTTCCATCTGTAACTACTGGCTATACCGGGCTTGATGAAAAGACTGATTTGAGCCACTCAGTGATGTGGCAGGGGGAGAAGACGACAGACTTGGAATATGAATATGCAAGATGTTAACTCTATATTGTTATCCTCCCTTTATAGTTTCAACCATGAACAAAATGTGAATTTTCATACCGTGCGTAGCTTGTGTTATGTAAGAACTTCGTACCTGTAGCTTGAGATACTCACAAAGCAAATTATTCAGCTGAACATATAACATGCATTTAAGAGACAGTCAAGAAAATGTCTAGACATATAGCTAGCACATAGTGTAATTATTTTTAGTCATTACTCTTGTAATAATTTCTTATTAATTTAAAAAGATCGAAACACCTTATTTGTATGTACTCTATTTTGTACTTTAGCCATTTCAGCTTCTAGACTAGTGATTTTCAAATCAGTGTGCCACAGCTGAATATTAACACTGTTAGGTAGGCAAACACTTAAGCATGATTCCCAAGATAAACCCAATCATTGCAAATAGGAATCCATAGTCTCAAAAACATTCTAACCAGTAGTGGTCTTCCTGTATTCCTTGCACCAGAAAAATTACTCTTATTATTTTTCTGTAGCCAAAAAAAGGAGTGAAAACTAAGAGCTGGTATTTTCTGAGGGGTGTCTCTAAACTAAACAGGTTAAGAATTAGGGCTGTACGAAGCTTCAGTTGCTGATTCAATTCAGCAGAGATTTGGCTCAATTCGGCGGTCAAATCTTCAAATCTGAATCGAATCAAGAGACCCTTTAATCTCTCCAAATAGAATCAGAATGCTCCGAATTGATTCGGACACAGATACAACTTTAAATGTTTTTTCTACATACCTCAAGGTACCAGCCAGCTCATGAATGCTGAGATGCTGGGGCAGATGGAGCGTCCTACAGGAGTGTGGGAGGGACCCCAGAGCACTTGGCAATGGACCTGAAACTGGACCAGAAACACTTCTGGTCTACTTCCAGGTCCGCTGGCGAGCATGTGGGGGACCTCTCTCCCCTGGCTCAGCAACTGGGGCCTCCTGGGTCTGAAGGGGCACCGAGGGTCCCCCCACAGCTGATTGCTGAGCTGGTGGCGAGGCACTCCCACATGCTTGGCAGTAGACCCAGAAGTGGACTGGAAGTACTTCCGATTCACTTCTAGGCTTGCCACTGAGTGCATGGGGCCCCCCCGCCACGCTCCTGTGGGATGCTCCATCCGCCCCACCATCACAGCATTCACAAGTTGATCCTGGTACTTTGAGGTATGTAGAGAAAACATTTAAAGCTGTGTGTCTATGGCCGAATCACTGATTCTGTTAATCAGCATTGAATCTTCAGATTTGGTTTCAGCCAAATCAAATTGGGACAGTGATCCGAGTCAACGAATCGATTCACTCTCTCCCGATTTGGACCGAATCTGAATCCGGTCAAATTGAATATGGCCCGTTTCACACACCCCTATTAAGAACCACTGTTCTAGACTATGTTGCATTAAACTGCAAACATACTATATCAGAAAATACATCTAAATTTAACAATGTACATGGTGTTTCAGTTATAAAAATTGGTATTGATAGACATAGTATATAAAAATCAATTAAACAGGTCTTCTATAGTCCTGACAACATATGAAAGACCTTCCTTCTTTTGGGCTAATGTTTTACTGCAAGTATTGTGGAGTTTCACACTACACAGGGAGAGGCTTTTCATGTTTTACCTTTGCTCAGTTGGACTGGCATGCTTTCTGATTTCATCATTCTCTGCTGTTGCTGCTGTGCCTGCTGGTGGTAGTAAAGCTGGGAGGCTTCTGCTGTGCTTCTGATAGGCACTGCACCTGAAGGAAAGCTGCTGCTGCTACTACTACCAATAGCTGAGCCTGAAGCACTACCTGAAGCAATAGCTGGCGCAATCAGCTTTCGACCAAGGTTAAGCAAGCTATTGGAGACTTTATTAATGTTCAGTGGAGCAACTTTAGCACCAGCACTGAAAAACAAAACAGAAATGAAGGCATGGATGATCATCAATAATTTATATAGCAATGTAAATATGTATGATGCTTTATAAAGAATAGGAAAAATATTCTACGGCAAGAAAAAACATACAGATAGCATTTTACATGTACATGTGAATCTCAGCACACAATCCACATCCAGTAGAGTTGGCCAAAATTTTTGGCCCATTTTTGGGAGGGAGTGGGGAGGAAGAGGAGATGCAGACCATCAACAAAACTTTGTGAATTTGTATCGATTTCTCCAACCATTTCCTCTCTAGCCCTAATATTCCATGTCTCATTTCAGCATTTTCCAACTGAAGCATTTTTACACTGTTTGAATTCTTAAAGAGTTATAAAAAGCAGAATTCTGTATCTCTTTTTTTTCCTATGTGAAAGAATGCAATCTCATTATCCTCACAAATCTGGAGAATCAAGATGATGGTGGCAGCCAGCCCTCTATGTGAAACAGTTTGTGAAATACTATCCCTAGTTGAAGAAAACTTCACCACAGTGAATGGAAAATTGAAAAGATAGCTCAATTAAATCATTAAATCTTAACAATACTATGGAATTGTAGTTCAGTGAAAGTGCTGTATTTACCCAAATCCAAGATGATTCTACATTTAAGACATTTCCCAATAATTGGATTCTAGACATGGAAACCCTATACATTTGTTATAATTTTTCAAGTCTAGAATGTAATTTTGGAGGGTCAACTTAAATTAATTCCCCCACACTGCTGCAGCAGGTCAAGCAGTGGCAGGGGGGGCAGGCAGTGGTAGAACAGGTGGCAAGGGAGTCAAGTGGCCTGCCCCCCCATCTCCTTGCCACTTGTCCCCCCCACTCCCTTCATGCCTACATTTTTTCATGATGCCTGCACCTCTGGGCACACCACTCCAACACTTTTGCCCCTTCTACCTGCCCCCCCTGCTACCTGTTCCCCACACCACCTCACCACTGCTGCCTTTCCCCACACGTGACCCCTTCCACTTACCTTCCCCTTCACAGCTCCAGCTCCAGCCCAGGGCAGGGAGCATGAAGCAGTGGTTGCTGCAGCGATTGTAGTGGTGACAGCTTCAGCCCCAGCCGTGGAGCAGTGGCCAGAGCTATTGTTGCTCCTACATGGCAAGGCTGGGGCTAGAGGCAGCATGTACTGTGTGCTCCCTGGTTTGCCAGCCAGAGAAGGGCCCCACTAGGAGCCAGAGCTGTAAGGGATAGGCAAGCAGCGGTAGGGAGCAAAGGTTGTGGTGGTAGGGACAGAGGCTGTGGGGGAGAAGGGGAAGACAGGTAGTAGAGGTTGGAGGGGGGGGTGGCTGTGGCTCCAATCCTGGGCTTGGGTTAGAGTTGCAGCCATTGCCCACCGCCTACTTGTACTCCAATCTAAGACAATAAGCTTTCTCCACACCAGCCACATTGAACGAAGACCCTAAGCTCCCCACTTTGTCTTGTTGAGCAGGCTTTGCCAGCACTGAGCATCATGCACCAGCTCCAGCCATGCTCAGAGGTACCCTGCCTACTCTGCCACCCCAGGAGATCCTTTTAGAGTGCTGTAGGTTATGAGCAGGTAAGCTCTGTAAGGAAAAAAACAGGTCTTTAAATGGGGTGGTTTTAAATTCCAAAACATTATCAAGGGGTGTCTCATGTATAAAAAGGCTGAGAACCATGATACTATATTCACAATCTGTAAAATTAAGTTACTGGAATGTATTCAGTAAAAAACATATTACTCTCAGAGGTGATATGCATAAGGGATCAGCAACCTATTCAGAGCAGTGGGCAAACATAAACCAGCTCATTCTGTGGTAGGACAGCTGCAGCTAGTCTGCAGAATTTCCCCACCTCTGAAATGGTGCTAAACTGCCCCACTATCACAATGCTGTTCAATATGCAGACTATGTGGGCCAGATGAAATCACTTGGTGGGCTGGATATGGCCTGCTGATCTAGATCTATAAGTTTGGTTTTAATGATTTTAATTGATTTGTCTCAACTAGCTTAAATGGCTGCACAAAAAGAATTAGAACAAAATATTTTAAAGAAATTATCATTACTTGGTGTGCTGGGACACAATACAGTTCTGTGATGTTTTAGTGAACCTTCATTAAACATAAATTAGAAATGAATCTGTTCTGTGACCTTTGCAAATTCAAACAAATGAGAAGAATCACACATGATAGGACACAAGCTACTAGTTACAAGTACAGATATACTTCTAATTCTAATGTGCATCTTTACAACATACAAAATAAAAAATACAGGGAATTTTGAATATTCTCACAATTTACTTCTAGACATAGGCGTCTGGTAGGGGGTGCACAGGGGTGCACACACTGCCCCTAACGGGGCCAGTGCCCCCCCGACGGCCGACACTGATGCTGTCAGTAGGACTGGTTATCCCCCTGACAGGGCTGCCACCATTGGTGGCTTCTGCGGGTGCCCCCCTATATTCAGGAGGCACCAGTTACTTATGCCTCTAGAATATGAGTTTTCAAATATTTTTACAGCAAAAAAATCCAGGCTGAGCTAGATGCTGCACTTAAAATTGTGTCTGAATCCCAATGCAAGCAGATAAGACTAAAATTAGAGGCAGAGAGAGCATGGAGAAGCAGCTTTCCCACTTGTGGGGCCTTCTTTACAGCTTTATTTGGAATTTGCCTAAGACATAAGATGAAGACTGAGAACTGGTAACTAACTCTCAGAAAGAATCAGACTGAGGTTATGGAGAGGCATTAGACGTTCATGTTGGGAAAATGCTATATTCCTGGCACAGACACCAAACTGCATTCAAGCAGTTTATGGCAGAAAAAAACCTAGTGCTTTCACCACAAATTGCCAGCCATTTTGAGCAGCCACTCTTTAGTTACATGTAGCAGGATGGTAGTCCCTAGAACTTCAGTATCCCAGTCCTCCACTCTCCCAAAGGAAAGCAAAGAAGGTAGAGTGGCTCGCTCCCTGACAGCCCACTAATCGGCAAGCTGTCAGGGTGTATGGTAGTGCTACCTCCCAGTGCACTTTGCATATCACTAGGGTTCCCTGGTGCTGTGCAGACAGCAGTGTGGATTCAAGCTGTGCCTCTTGAGCAGTGCCACAAAGTCCAAGGACTGTTCAAGTAGCAGCAGAATTCCAGTATCCTAACCCAAAGTGTTGCCCCCACTCACCCGCTTTTCCAATCAGGAGAGAAGGCAGGCATGAGGGGAGTATTAGGGCGAGGGCTGCTTATGTAGCTGGTGTTGCCAGGCAGGCCTTGGGTTCTTTGATAATGACCCATGCTTTCGGGCTGGGGGCTTGCTGGGGTGGGATGGGCTTCACCTCTCTCCTAAAGGCAAGCGTGTCTTCTCTTCCAGGTTGGCTGATCTCATACGGCGAGCTTTAAACTAGCATCGCCCGGGGGGGGGGGGG